CCTCCCCCCCCCCCCACCAGATTTACCAGCCAGACTCTGCTCTTCAAGCTGCCAGGCTGACTGTGTGCATGCATGCCGCGTTTATCAGCAACATGATTGGCCACATCAGCCAAAAAAAAGCTGATAATGTCAATTTTTCCTTTATACAATACATTGGTCTAGTACAATATGGACCGATGTATTGGTACACCTCTAGCAAATGGAAAATCTGAATCCGTGCTTATGACACTGTCCTGAGGCGTCTGGTCTTAATCTATTGCCTAAATGGATTGGAGCTATTTCAAAGGAAGGTTTATAAAGGAAGTCAAAAAAACCCCAAAATCTTTGTGTGGCTAACCTCACTGATAAGTGTTATGTAGCAACTCATTGTTTATCACTTGATCCAGTTGTGAAACCATAAGGGACAACTGGAGACAGGTTTTGAGATGAGTTATTAAATGATGTGGCTAAAAAATTTTTCTTGGAGGGCTGCTTTTAAGTCAGTTTGCTGAGTGTGTGCTTAGCTGCCAATAGCTGCACACTACGGGCTCCACTTGTCTCCCAATAAGCAAGAATCTCAATGGATCTAGATTAGCTGTGGATGTTGTAATTTCCCTTGCAACAATTTAGTTTTTGCTTGTCACAGGAGAGAGTTAAGTTTGGGCACTGAGAAGTAAACCTTCCCTTGTCCCTAGAAAGCCTGGATATTAAAGATAAAGTAGCTGTGAATCACCTCTTCTTTTGCTTGCTCACCTCTGCCCTTTCCCAGTTAGGAAGGATAATGAGTATAAATTTTGCTTTTTGATCTGAGTGGTGCTTTCCCTCTGAGAAAGAGGGAAGGAGATATGGACCCAGGTGTGATGACGGGTCCTTAGCCTGACTAGAAACACCTCTACACAGCAGAGAAATAGAATGCTCTTTTAAGACCCAAAGACATTAAAATGGACATTATTTTAAAGATGGTTGGTCTTGGTCATTTAGCAAATCCAAACTAACTGGTTGTGTCCCTTCACAAAATTCAGTTGGCTTTGTTAGGATTTAGCTGGACTTCTCAAGCCACAGTACGCTGATGATCCCTGTCATCTTGCATTTTTGCTTTGTTTTTTAATATTACATTGGATGTTGATTTGTGTGATATGTGCCATATCCCTGGTGGCAAGTTGTATCTTTTTATGGTAAAAAGCAAACAGGCCACAGTTGCCCTTTCATTGGGTAGTATTTGAACATCAACACTTTCACAGGCTTTCCTAAATTTTGCATGATGCTAGTTAGTGAGGAGAGACAAACTGGGTTAACTGGAATTATTGTTTGCGGATGCCTCCTGCAGCTGGAAGCAGAACTGGCTAGAGTTTGCCAACTCTCTTGATTTCATGTATGACCCAGACCTGGATTTGAATCCAGCTCAGGAGGGGAAAGGTTAGTATAGCTGTCTTTCTCTTTGCAGCTGTTTTAGAATTGCCCATAGAAGGCACAAACCATTTTTTTTTCTGTTGACTCTCCTTTAAGTACACTTGAAGAAAAATTCCTTTTCTCTAGCCCATTCTCTACTTCCTGTCTGCTTCCTTATGTTCATTTTAGTTCTTTGAAAAACATTGGTACTTAAATTTTGATCTTAATATAATCTATAGAATCTAGGCTACAGTTTGACTAATAACCATAGCTAGGAAGTCTGGAAGTGTGTGTTTCCCTTACTACTTTGTTAGTTTTTGGGGAGTAAGAAGTTATTTTCATAAACCTACATAGTGCCAGGACCAGGGAGCTATGATTCTGATTAGAGGCTGCTACAGTAGTGTGTATGTGTACATTTTTTATAAAATATCATTTGAAAATATTGTTACTATATACTAAACTTTTGTATTATGCTTTGGGCTAAGTTTCTCATTTCTATGTAAGTGTTAGAATGGGGGATATCTGACTTTCACTTGGCTTTGTCTAAATTAGTTTTTAAGTTATGTTTAGTTACTTTTTCAGACAGATCCTGGGGAGGATTGCAGCCAGAGGGAGTGGTGGTAGACAAGGGAATTTAAATTGTTTTGTTTTATTGGTGGTGGTGGGAAGCTGCTAGCCATGCAGAAGCAAATAGTTAGCTTTTGGTTAGGGGTGCGCTGATAGAGATTTTGAGGGCCAATACCAATATGCCTCCTTAAATATCAGCTATTGGCTGATACCAGTCCGATACAGGTACCTCCAGGTGGTAAGTCTAGTGTGGGGGAAGGGACGGGGGGGCAGTCAACACCCTTGCAGTGAGGGAGGGGGCAGGG